TTTTTTTTTTTTTTTTTTTTGTAACTCCTTTAGATATTAGCAACCCTTTTCTCCGCTCAGAACATTTGGATGTAGTACGTATTGAACACGTGAAAATAAAATGACATTTTTCGCATTTCAGCTAGCATATAATGAATACGACTATGTACACTACGGCACTTATTTAACAGTAGATCAAATCAAAGAAAAACCCACACTGATCAGATGGCGTTTTTTACCAAATTTACTGTACACGCTCCTGTTAATTAGTAAGTTCCATCAAACTAGAAATAACTAAGAATTTTAGAAGTACCTATATAATCGGATTGTTCAACATTTAAACGCTGGAAAATTGCTTAGCCTGTGAATTGAGGTCACAGGCACGCGTATCAACGTATTACTGTAAAAAGCGTAAGATCCAAATTCTCAATATGTATGAGCAGATTTTACGGAGAGGCATTTGTTTGCGCAGTTGGGAACTGTAGCTGAAAATACAAATAGAACAAACGTTTCGTATTAATATTTCAAACAGATCCAGCACTGAAAAAATATTTTTGTTCTTATGCTACTTTTGGTTAAGATAGGAAGTGAAACACACAAATTTTTTGTTAATTTTGGTACAGTTTGCGGTGAATTCGGTGCAGAAGAACAAATGAGAGACTTGAAAACCCTAGTCAACCGCTGCTTGGGTTATTTTGTATTTTACTTCCCGTATTAACCAAACTTTTGTGTTAAATTTTCTCTCCGTAAGTTTGCCATTGACAAAAAACTCTCTTTAATCCTTTCGCATGACTCAAAAGTGCGAATTCAGTTTTTTAACACTCTATAGTAAAGCGTAGGGTTCCAGTTTTTGCCTGCAATCTTTGCCACTTTTGACTTGATTTTTGCTAAGAACAGTTCATAACTAAATTTTTTGGAAAAATAGAGATGATTTCTCATTTGTAACTCACAGCTCTCCTTACCGCAATAATTCGCATGCAAAAGTTTAATATTGATTAGGGTCATGACGAAGTAACCAAGCTTTAATCAACACGCAACCACAACCCTTCCATAGGGACAGCAGTAAGGGAGGAGGCTGAGGAGTGAATTTTGAAACTTCGAACAGTAACGAATATTTGCTTGAAGGAGCGGATAATATTTAGTCGAATAATATTCTCCTCCACCTAACACCAGTTTTAATTACTTTTATTGACAAGGCCCAGATCACCCGACTCGAGAAAACCCCGAAGAAAAAGAATGGCAATATTGGATTGTTTCAAACATTCATGGTGGTGATTTAAAACTATCACGAACGCTGACTGAATATTCGCCTCCGACAGAAATACTCGGGAAAGGTAATTTATGGAACGGTACATACATACATACATACATATAAGTCGCTTTACAGCACTCCCTCGCGCTCTACGAC